GTGGGCATCCGCCACAATTACCACCTTTAACCGCGGTTATGCCATCTTGTGCATACGCGCCCCCCTCTCTCGAAGGCTTCCGAGTTGTGTGCGTCACCATGGGGGTTATCGCTGTCCACTATAAGCGACCCCTTACTCGCGGAGGCATGCGATCATGCGCGTAGTGTTACCAGGGTTGTTACAGCTGACAGTCAACAATGGACCAGTTACATAGGTCAGGTTTTTACCGCCGTATATAGGCTGCCTCCAGATAGCGCAACGTACGAGTTGTTCGTGTCCGAACAAGTACTCAGAAAGAAGTTTTGGGGTCTAGCAGGTGCTCAGTATTGGAAGAACGAGGAGTTCTATTTTCCTGTTTTTATAGTCAACTAGGCAAGTGCTCCTTGGCTCTGGCTGCCAACTGCCGTTGTGTTCACCCCATGTTCTTGCATTCGTAATTGCGTGTAAATTTGCAAACACAATTGGAAGTGGCGTGCAATGGTAAGGCATCTTTCGCACAAGGAATTAGTAGGGGCTTAGTTGGATTGCAAAATATGAGTTCTGCAGCATAGTATGTCCTTTCAATGGTGTTAAGTACACGTATCTTCATGATATTTAAAACGTTATTCCTCTTAAAAGGCAAGGATATGAAAACAAACTTCTTATGAATTAACAGTTCCGTCATTTTAGGAAGTAAGGGTTTACTACACTTGTCTATAAACTGTGCTGGATATCCCCGCTTTAGTAGAGTTTCTTTAAGACAAGCTATTTCTGCGTACAATGTGCGTACAATGAACGAGATTTTTCTGGTCTTCTGGAAGAGAGTATATACCCTTTTGCGTTTCCATTGAATGGGAACAAAACTCAGATAATGCAGGTACTGACTTTTCCAAGTATTCTTATGGAAGACCGTTCGTGTAATGGAGCCATCTTTCTGTCTGGACATGTGAACGTCGAGGAAGGAAAGCTGGTTCTCTCGCTCCAGTTCCATAATAAATTTAATATTGGGATGCACACTGTTCATTGCAGACAGCAATTCTTTGGCTTCCTTCATGTTGTCGACAGATTTAATGGATCCATTAATTTCGAGAACAACTCGTACGTTGCGCTACCTGGAGGCAGCTTATATACAGCGGTCAAAACCTGACCTATCTAAACAGTTGGAGCATATGGTTAACCTAACTTTGCAATGGACTAGTTATCAGCCGTCCGTTACCCGCGATTAAGTTCCGTCCAGCGTGTCCACTGTGGGATATTCTTAACAATTAGGGTTTGCCAATTGCTCCTCATCTTACCCTTTCGCTTGACTTTGTTTGATAATCTACCCCCCCCTC